GATGCATAGGGCATCAAGGCCTGCGGGGGGGGGGGGCATTTGGGAGTGACCAGGCTGGCAGGGTAGGGCAGTGAGGGGCAACCAGTTGGGAGAACAGTTGGGGAGAACAGTTGGGGGTGACCAGGCCAGCAGAGGCAGCAGTAAGGGGTGACTAGGCCATCGGGGGGGCAGTTAGGGGCAACCAGGTCAGCAGGGGGGCAGTTGGGAGCTACTAGGCTGGCAGGGGGGCAGTTAGGGACAATCAGGAAGGCAGGCAGATAAGCAGTAAGGAGTCAGTGGTCCCAGATTGTAAGAGGGTGCAGGCTGGGCTGAGGAGACACTCCTCCCTCTGTGCATGAATTTTAACACCAGGCCTTAGTCTTTTTAATATATTGCTGGATGTGTTTGCTAATATTTTGTTAAGGATTTTGTTAGCATCTGTGTTCATCAGGGATATGGGCCTGTAATCCTCTTTGTTTGTAGTGTCTATCTCTGGTTTTGGAATTAGGATAATTCTGGCCTCATTAAAAAAAACAACACACACAACATCTATCCTCCTCAAACTGGAATAGTTTGAGGAGGATAGGTATTCGTCCTTTTTTAAATATTTATTGAAACTCTCCTGTGAAGCTGTCTGGACCAGGGTTTTTGTTTTCTGTGAGGTTTTTTTTTTTTTAATTTTTTATTACTGCTTCAATTTCCTCAATTGTTATTCGCCTATTCAGGGTTTTTTATTCTTTCTTATTCAGTTTTGGAAGATTATATTTTTCTAGGAATTTGTCCATTTTGTCCAGTTTGTTGGCATGTAGTTTCTCATTGCATTTTCTTATATTCCTTTGTATTTCTGTGATGTCAGTAGTTACTTCACCACTTTCATTTCTGATTTTAATTATTTAGATCCTCTCTCTTTGTTTCTTGATGAGTCTGGCTAAAGGTTCATCAATCTTGGTTTTTGTTTTTTGTTTGTTTGTTTTTTTTTTTTTTTTAAGAACTAGCTCTTGGTTACACCAGAAGGGGGTGTGCATTGATCTTCTATATTGTTGTGTTTGTTTTTCTTTAATCTCTATGTAAGTTATTTTTGCTCTAATTTTCATTACTTCCTTTCTTCTACTTACTCTGGGCTTTTCTTGTTGTTCTCTTTCTAATTCTTTAAATTGTAGGGTTAAATAGTTTATTATTAATTTTTCTTGTTTTTTGAGGTAGGCCTGTAATGCTATGAACTTCCCTCTCAGGACTGCTTTGCTTGTCCCAGAGATTTTGGGTTGTTGTGCATTCATTTTTCATTTGTTTCCAGGAAGTTGTTTTCTTCTTGTTCTTGTTCTTCTTGTTCTTCTCGTTCTTGTTCTTCTTCTTCTCCTCCTCCTCCTCCTCCTCCTCCTCCTCCTCCTCCTCCTCCTCCTCCTCCTCTTCCTCCTCCTCCTCCTCCTCCTCCTCCTTCTTCTTCTCCTTCTCCTTCTCCTTCTCCTTCTCCTTCTCCTTCTCCTTCTCCTTCTCCTTCTCCTTCTCCTTCTCCTTCTCCTTCTCCTTCTCCTTCTCCTTCTCCTTCTCCTTCTCCTTCTCCTTCTCCTTCTCCTTCTTCTTTTAACTCATGGGTAACCTATTCATTGTTTTATTTTTTAAAAATATATTTTATTGATTTTTTTACAGAGAGGAAGGGAGAGGGATAAAGAGTTAGAAACATTGATGAGAGAGAAACCGACCATCTGTCTCCTGCACCCCCCCCCCCCCAATAGGGATGTGCCCACAATCAAGGTACATGCCCTTGACCAGAATCAAACCTTTCAGTCCACAGACTGATGCTCTATCCACTGAGCCAAACTGATTTCAGCCCATTCATTGTTTAATAGTATGCTATTTAGCCTCCATGTGTTTGAATGTTTGGGGGTGTTTTTACTGTAGTTGATTTCTAATTTCATTCTATTATGATCCGAGAAAATGCTTGATATGATTTCAATCTTCTTAAATTTGTAGAGACTTGTTTTGTATTATTACATGGTTTATCTTTGAAAATGACCCATGTGCACTTGAGAAGAATGTATATTCTGCAGAAATGTTCTATAAATGTCAATTAAATCTATTTGATCGAGTGTCTCATTTAGTGTCGCTGTTTCCTTGTTAATTTTTTTTGTCTGGAAGATCTATCCAGTGAAGTCATTGGAATGTTAAAGTCTCCTACTATGACTGTATTGATGTCAATCTCTTCCTTAAAATTCTGTAGAAGTTATATATATATATATATATATATATATATATATATATATATATGCTCCTATATTGGGTGCATATATGTTTACCAAGGTTATATCCTCTTGTTGGGTCCATCTCTTTAGTATTATGAAATGACCTTTATTGTCTCTTGTGATAGCTTTCATTTTGAAGTCTATTTTATCAGATAAGAGTGTTGCCATCCCAGCTTTCTTTTCGTCCAATCTGTCACTTCTTGACTGTGGTTTTTAGCAAGTTACTTAACAGCACCTGGGAAATGGGAATGATGACAGTGCCTCCTTCATAGGGTGCGGTGAGGGTTAAGTGAGTTAGCCTACCAAAGCACTTCTTAGATCAGTGTTTGGTGAACAGTTAGATCAAGCAAGTGTTTGCCTTATTATTTATAAAGCATAGTAGCAATGTTAATACTTAGTAAGATGAAAATTATTAGTAAAAGTACTAAATCATATAAAAATGGTTATTATATGATGGTTATGGCCACTTTTTGTAAATCTATATGTGCCTGATGGCAGCTAAATATACTAGTATATTAAAAAAATATTAAAAGTGTGAGGACTTGATGAAAATACTTTACAGCAGGATAATTCATCTTATCTCTTTTAAGCTGAGAGATCCAACAGACAAAAATAAATTAAATCTAGAAAAAAATAAATAATAGAATCAGCAAATTCAATCTAATAGACAATTTTGAACCTTTTGCTCCTCAAATAGTTTTTTTGTGTTTTTTTTTTTTTTTTTTTTTTTTTGCATGGAACATTTGGTCCTAGCTGGTTTGGTTCAGTGGATAAAGTATTGGTTTGTGGACCAAAGGGTCCTGGGTTCAATTCCAGTCACAGGCACATGCCTGGGTTGTGGGCTCACTCCCCAGTAGGGGGTGTGCAGGAGGCAGCCAATCAATGATTCTCTCTCATCATTAATGTTTCTCTCTCTTTCTCCTTCTTCCTTCCTTTCTGAAACCAATAAAAATATATTTTTAAAAAATCAATCATGTGCCACAAAGCAAGCCATAATAACAAAACATTAAACATATTACAGACCACATTTTAATCATTATCCAATACAATTAGAAATAAGTAATAAAAATGATGAAAATCACTTAGCTTGAAATGAAGAAATACAATTTTAAGTAATCCTTAGATCAAAGAGGAATTGAAAACTGAAATTAAAACAGTGAAAAAGAAAATATGTCACACCCAACTTATGGACACAGAAAATATGGTACTAAAAAAAAAATCTTTATTATTAAGAAAGAAATAATAAAAAATAAAGGAATGGTGTATTCATCTTTTAAATTACCAAAAAAGGAATAAAACAAAGGAAAGAATTAGCAGATATTTAAGCTGACATCAAGCAAATAGAAAATGTTTTTAAAAAGTGGTTGAAAGGGAAAGGATCCAAGAAACCAAAAGCTTTCTCTTGGAAAAGGAGCGAGAAGGTGGTGTGGTGAGGGGGAGTGTGAAGAACAGAATATGGTAGAGGAAGGCGAGTGGGAGGAAAGATGTGCCAAAGAATGAGGAAATGCTCAAAAGAAACATCTGATGTAACCTTTTGCTCCCACTACTTAGCACGCGGGTTTTCTAGTCTGTCTGTCTGTCTGTCTGTCTGTCTCTGTCAGAGTGCTTCAGCCTCAGCTTCTTTCTTTTCCTGCCTGTTTGTGGCAGTCAGCATGGCAGTCCTGGTGAGCCACTGGCTACCCGGGCGACTTTGGCCGTATCATTTCAGCTGTTTGTGCCTCACATCCTGGAGGGGAACACGGGCATCCCAAGTGTCCCCCTTCACAGAGCACCTGTGTGGATTTGGTGCATGTCAGCACTTCCCAGTACATGCTCAGATGATGTTCTCATTGCCCCCATCATTCCTTTGAAGGATTCCCAGATGGATGCTCCACGAGGCCATGCTCTTAGGTCTGGACACTTACCCTTAAGCAGTTTTGCTTTCATTTCAATGTCTTTCCTATGGGACACCATTCGGCCGTTCCAGGAGAAGTATTGTCATCTAATACTCGAAAGAATATTTGCTGTATTTACCATGTACCAGGCATTGCACTAAGTGCTTTATGTGTATCTTATGTAATATTCACAGTGGCCTTAAAAGTCTAGTCACCATCCTGGCCGGTATGGTCCATGGTTGAGCCTCGGCTCATGAACCAGGAGGTCACAGTTTGATTCCTGGTTAGGGCACATGCCCAGGTTGTAGGCTCAATCCCCAGTAGGGGGCGTGCAAGAGACAGCCAATCAGTGATTCTCATCATTGATATTTCTATCTCTCCCTCTCTCTTTCTTTTTGAAATCAATAAAAAAATATATATATTTTTAAAAAGCATAGTCACCATTCTTGTTAACAGACGAGGAAAAGGAAGCTCAGAGAACTTTACACACTTGCCCAGAATTTGGAGGAACCAGAATTTGGCGCCATTGTCCAATGCCCTGTTCCCCTCCTTGCTCCTGATTTATTACTTTTTAATAAATGTAAGGATTGTTTTCCTAAAACAGTGACTATTAAAAACATCATGGAGTGATAGAAATACACACCAAGAGGCTAGGGTCCCGGTCTGGATCTCTATCAACTCACTTGACACCAGAGTCTCGGTGTTTTTATCGGTAAATTAAGGGACATGGTGTGGGTGTGATCCTTAAAGTCTCTCTTTCTCTCTAAGACCCTGGCTCTCTGTACATACTGGGTGGCTGTTAAAAAGGAGCCTCCTATGAAAAGAGTTCAACATCCTTGCCTAAAATGGTTTTGTGGAATCATGCAAACTCTCAAGTGACTCTCCTGTGGTGTTTTGTGTTGCTCAGGTCCTTCAGGAGCAGATCCGTGCCCGGGACAACATTAGCTACGGAACTAATTCTGCCTTAAAGACGCTGGAGATGCGGCAGCTGTCCGGTTTGGGGGATCTTCGAGGGAGAGTGGCAAGGTAGGTGGTCAAATGTTTGGGACTCCACTCCTCAAAAGCTATTTTTCATACCTTTCGTTTTAGTGGGGAACATATCCATGAAGTCCCAAAGCAAATTGTTTGCATTCTTCTCGTACATCTCCTCCTTTGCCCATAAAATTTAACCATGGACACTAGACCTGGACATGATGAGCATGCCATGACTTCTTGTGTGTCTGCAACAGGAACTGTGTGTGTGTGTGAGGAAGTGGCGGGAGAGCTCAGCTGACCAGTGTCATCGGGCAGATGAAGATTATTATGTTTATTGAATCCAATAATGTACAAAGTTGGGACTTACATTTTTGCATATCTTATTTATTTATAAACTATAATTCTATTTTCTTTAATTTTTATTAGAATTCTAAGCAAATACTTCTCCGCCTTTTTTGAAAATGATCTGTGTTTAACTTGGAAAAATATTTTTAATTATTATGGCATAACATTTTGCCAAGTCTTACACCATTTGGTCGATGTCTAGCATTAAAATTAACTTCTTCAGAATATTTTTTTCAATCTTTATCATTGAAAGTATTACAGATATCTCCTCCCCTCCCCCCCCCCCATTGTCCTCTTATAGCCAGTCCCCTACCCTTCCCCCTATCCACATGCCCCTGCAGGCCTTCACCACACTATGGTCTGTGTCCAGGGGTTATGCATATATGCATACAAGTTCTTTGGTTAATCTCTTCCCACCCCTCCACCCCACCATTCCCTCAGATATTCAGCAGTCTTCCATGTCATTTTTAATTTCATTTTTTCTTATAACTCACTTATTAGTAAATTATTTTTCAATTACAGTCAGTATACAATATTATATTAGTTTCATCTGTACAATATAATGATTAGACATTAATATACCCCAATAAGGTTAGTACCAACCTGACACTATGCAGTTATTACAATATTATTGACTACATTTTTATTTTATTTTCTGAAAGTATTGGTCCATCATAAAAAGAGCTCTGTTATCTCAGTTGGAAAGTGTTGTTCTGGCCCTTCACTACTTGTTGCACCCGCAGCTTCATATCACCGGGGACCCTATTAGAAATGCCAGTAGTCCCTAAAGTGTTCACGGGCCTCTTCCGCTCTCTGCTGCAGGTAAGGGTCAAGCACAGGAGATGTGGAGCTCACAGGCAGTTTGAGTCAGCCTGTGGTGAAGTTGCGAGTAGTCTGCAAAGGGTAGGAGTGGAAAAAAGGGACTCAGGAACCAAGGACTCTTTGGAGCGGAGAGCACTAGTTACAGGAGGTGTCTTTGCAGACAGCACCTGAAGGGCCTTGCATGCTGGGCCTATGGATTTGCATCTGTTGGGTGAACAGTAGTCTAAGAACAGAGATTGAATGGAGGGCTCGTTGACTGCTCTTGTGTGGTTTTCTATCCTCCTCTGAGTGAACTCCAATCTCTTCAATATGACCCTGCTGACTTCTCACCTCTTTATCTTAGCACTGTACCTTTCAGCAGTGATCAACTAACTGCTTGTTATTTCTTGAATGGGCCATGCGTCCTATTTCAGTGCCTTTGCATACACTATTGTTATACCCAACATACCTTCCCTTCTTTTCTTGCTTCTGATCAGCCTTTAAAATACTGCTCAAATGTCACCTCCTCCAGGAAGTTTTTCCAGATAGCCTATGTTTTCATATGTTTTCATTTCTCTTGCATATTTATACCTAGGAGTGTAATTGTTGAGGTCCCCTGGCATTCTTTGTTCTATTGAGTATTCTGTTGTCTTCACTGTCTTGGAGTGGAGTGCCATCTTTTACTTTTGTAGCTCAAGTGTCTGGGAATAGTCCCTGGAAAGTAATAGGTCTAGAAAATCACTGTAATAGGATGGAAAACTTGAATTCTTTCTATGGAAATTTGCTTAAAGGAAACCACAGCTTGTTATAGCTCTCAGGACAGTGAGAAGTTAGAACTTCAGAGCTGCAGGGCAGAATAGAGACCTTAGGAGAACTTTGAGGATCTTCTTGGTTACTTTTTTTCTGCAGATGAAGATTAAGCGAAGCAATATATGTAAGAGGCCTAGTGCAGAGCATGAAATGGCATGTGAAATTATCCTGGTTCTAATTACAAAACAGAGAAGTTATTATGAAATACTTTCAGAAATTTTATGTCTCTCCCTTCCCCACTGCAATTTCTTATTAGCGGCTCTACTCAGCTTGTTCTTTCTCCGTAACAAATACGTTTATTCTGCAACAATTAAAAGTGTATTAGGAGCAACACATGTCTTTGCTTTGTTTTTATATTTGTCTTTCTCCTATAATGTTAATGAGCCTTTAATTGTTGAAATAAATTCATGTGAAGTAAAAATTATTTGGCAAAATTTTGGCTTTCTTGAATTGGTTATGTTATTGTATTGAAGGAATCTGAATGAATTTTAAAAATGATATTCTTAAATTACTGGGCTGCTGTATTGCTATATATATTATTATTATTATATATTATTATTAATTTCAGAGAAAGAGGGAGAGACAGAAAATGAGAGAGAGAGATTGAGAGAGAGAGATTAAGAGAGAGAGAGAGAGAGAGAGAAAGATTGAGAGAGAGAAAGAGAGAGAGGGAGAGAGAGAGGATGATGAGAGAATGATTGATCAGCTGCCTCCTAGATGTCCTACTCTGGGGATCGAACCTGAAACCCAAGCATGGGCCCTGAACAGGAATTGAACCATGACCTCCTGGTTCATAGGTTGACACTCAACCACTGGGCCACACCAGTTGGACTGGGCTGCTATATTATTTCAGATTTATTTCTTAGTGTTTTGGATCCATTGGTGATGTAATTGATAGGGAACAGACCCTGATACCTCCCATGTAGATCCAGCTGAGAGAGACAAAAACAAATTTGCTATGGAAGCGAGAAACACTTACCCCCACTAAGCATAGTACATCCTAAAAAGACTTTCACAGAGGTTCCCATTTCTCTCTAAAGCAGGACTCAAGGCTTTCCTGTTCTTACTGGAATATTTGGTCCATTTTTGTCCTGTCTTCTTCATTTCTCCAAGACTCAGTGCCCATATCCTCTTTCCTCTATGAAGTCTGTTTGCATGGTGTCAGAGCCTTGAGAATTATCGGAATACTAAGGCAGATGTGACGCAAGCCCAGGTGTAAAGAAAAAAACAGATAAATTTGGACATCATCAGATTAAAGCCTTTTGGGGATGATGTGTAATGCTGCTCTGCACACTCACATAGTTTTGGTGTGGTCATATGTTTTCATTTCTCTTGCATATTTATACCTAGGAGTGTAATTGTTGAGTAATGTGGTAGCTCTCTATTTTTGAAGAACAGAACAGTCAGACTATTTTCCAAAGTGGCCGTGCCATTTTACTGCCAGCGGCAGTGTATGAGGACTCCCATTTCTCTGCATTCAACACTTGTCTGCCTTTTTTATTACAGTCAACCTAGGGGTGTAAAGTGGCATTACGCGGTTTTGATTTGCATTTCCCTTAATGGTGTTGAACAAAATTTAATATGCTTATTGGTGATTTCTCTGCTTTGTAAAACTTACACAGATCCTGTGCCCATTTTTAAATTGGGTTATTTGTCTCTTTATTATTGTAGTTGTTCTTTGTATATTCCAAATGCAATTCTCTGATCGGATATTTGAAAAAAGTTTCCCCATTCTGTTTTCTTTTCATTTCCTTAATTGGGTCAATTTAGTTCTACTTTTTAAAATTTTTATCTCTTTATTGCTATTCTCTATTTAATGAGACAAATAAAAAGTCATTATATTTTACTTTTTAAAGTGTGTTTCTTTGACTATATTCATAATGGCTGCCTTGAGCTTTGTTGTTTAAATTTGGTATCCGCTCTTTCACAGGAGTTTCTGTCTGCTCCTTCCCCGTGTATAGCTCACATTTTCCTGTTTTTTTGTGTGTGTTTTTTTCCCGCATCTCTCAGGCTTTTTGTTAACAACTGGGCATTTCAGGTGATAGAGTGCTGCAATCTGGTGTGCTGACACATACCCTTGGGTTTGTTGTTGTGTGTTCAATGACTTGGCTGGACTGTTTTAGTGATGTCTATTTCCTGTGCAGTAACTAGCCTCAGGTGTCACTCCTCAGAAGGTACAAAGTCACGTTGCAATTACAGTGGTTTCAGCAAGACTCTCTGTCTCTTTCCCTGATCGTTATTAAGCCGTCTGCTCTGTAGGAACCACACTCAAATCTTAGGCTCTACTAATTGCTGGCATATTGCTCTACTGTTTTTGAAGGGCCCTAGAACATACATTGCTCTGTGATCTGATTCAATTAAATTATTGCCAGCACTTATGCGTTTAATACACTAGTTACTAGTACATACGTGTGTGTATACATACACATGTATATGTTAATTATTACACGTACATACATTTATGTTAATTATAATAGGAAGATGAGAAAATATTTTAAAAATATTTTAATTGATTTTTTACAGAGAGGAAGGGAGAGGGATAGAGAATTAAAAACATCGATGAGAGAGAAACACCCATCGGTTATCTCCTGCACACCCCGTACTGGGGATGTGCCTGCAACCAAAGTACATGCCCTTGACCAGAATCGAACCTGGGACCTTTCAAGTCCGCAGGTCGATGCTCTATCCACTGAGCCAAACTGGTTAGGGCGAGAAAATGTTTTAAATGTCATTTGCTTTTGATTACTATGCCACCATGTCACAAGCAGTAAGAAAAGTTCTGCATAAGTACGTTGCCTGTCATACCTGTTGCTAGACTTTGGGACCCTTTTGGCCAAGTGGTAGAGTCATTCTGCCACCTGATGGCCAGAACTAGGATAGTCGGGAGATAGCTGCCAAAAGACGAAAAGGAAAAAAAATTTGGAATCTGTAATACAAAATTTCAAGGATGAAAAAGGACAGCTGATCAGATTCATTGCAAATTCTTGTTTAGCTAAAGTTATTGAGCATGCATACAGCTATGTTAGAGTGCTGAAGCTGTCTTTTATGAATGTTTTTTTGAAAAGACAAGCATGATGTCTTTGATTCAATATCAG